GTGGGATAACGACCATAGGCAAATCTGAAAACGATTTCACGCAAATCTCTGGCTCACGAGATTTTTCTGACACGTTACGAAAATGAAACAGTTATTATTTTTGAAAGGAAACTATATTTAAGTAGATTAAACAGTCTAATTTAAAACGCAAACATTTGTAATAACGATTCTAAAATAGTAGCACATGGTATCTAAATGCATTCATAGAGATGGGGTTCTTTAAATGTGTCAGAACTTTTTTTTGCCACTATTATAATGGTAATAATTAACTAGATCAATCAGAGATCGTTGCTCTTCGTGTCGTAAGGTCATGAAATCATTTTACTAGCTAAAGGGGTCAAGTGAAAAACACTATACATAAATGTTAACATCCTTTAGACAAAGTTTTGCACATTTTTAGAAAAGTATTCTAGGATGTACTTGCAATTTTTAACACAAACTGTCCGGAATATACACCATTCATTTATCACACAATAAATTATTTAATAGTCAATAACTGGCGCAATAAAAAGGTCTGAACATAAAACTGATTTATCTATGATATGAAAAAAATATGCTTATGATTTTGAAATAACTTAATAGGGCATATTTAGAGTCGTCACGTATGACAGTTAACACATTTGTGAATATTTCTGTCACAATATAGACGCTGGATTGATCCTAAAGATGGGTTTCCATTAATTAACACTTGTATAAAACATTGTAATCTCTTTTAAAGCAATGAAAGGGTTGAGTGTCGGTGAAAACCCACGACTAGATTTTATAAAGTTCACTGCAACCTAATCTTATATCTATTTTGCAAAAAAATGCTGTGTTACTTAACGTATACACGTACTTATAAAAGGAATCACAAGATAACCCGAGCGACCTGACCCTCACAGCCCAGAAAGGCGACTAGCTCTCTCCTATATTATGTTTTTGTCGGCCTTCGAGCACTAACTAGCCGCTTGCTTATTTCCCTTTACGGTAAATCTATTCTTAGACTTAAAAAGACATTATCAAGGCAAAAAACGGTATGCAACAAAACATAACTAAACATAATTTTTTTTAACTACTGGCAATAAACGGAATGGTGCAATATATAAAGACAAATAAAATAGTACACGGTTTTGTAATTCCAGTAACCCTATGTGTTATATTTTATGTTTGTAAAATTATACATAATAATGAGTAATAAAACCTTGCATCTTATGTTATCAAATCTTCATAGAGATATCATTCGTTATCGGTCATACAATGAACTTTCTACATCATATCACATGGGTTTAGTTTATCTGTAAGCCCTGAGATGTGACCAGCTACGAAAACAAAATCTGCATTTTTTTTATCTTACGAATATCTGGCCTTAATATGTTTTTTTTCCCTTTAAAAGAATATATGGAAAAGGTACTATAAACATTAAGCTTGTTATCCTAAAAGAGATATAATAATTGATCGAGTCAGGTAGTGTAATTTGGCCGAGTAAACCCAACAGTGTCGGAATCAAATCACCCATTAGACCAACACGACCCATTGTCGTGATCAAACATTGAAGGCAGGAACAATTACGGACATTGAGGGGATTTTTAAATTAAAACCTTTATCCAACATTTACTTCAAAGAAAAATATATAATTTAATCTCAGTCTGCTTTAGGTAAATACGGTATACTTACTATTGTATATAAATGGGTTGCAATAATGAAAAACTTCGTACACACCACTAAAATTTTGTCGTCGCGCATCAGACCATAACTCCATAAAAGACATTTGGAGTTATGCATTCCCGTGTTAATGTTTTATGGTCGTCTCGAAAGCGAACATAGGCAATTTACAAAATAATTTACAAGTTAATGTAAACTTAGGGATATAGAATGGAGTAGGCAGGGAATGCGATATTTATGTTTCACTTAGATGACTTTTTGTGTCTGTATTACTTCTACCTTCAAAATCCACTGGCAAAGAATTTTTGAAAAATATGTATTGATTTTTGTAATTTAAAGTCACATATAGCAACATTTAACGTATCTGGATAATCATAAAGTTATTCTAATTTGTATATTCCGAGCAAAATGTACGATTTTCGGTCTACATCGATACGAATTTAAATTGGAAGAGAAAATGCTCACAGAAATGGCATTAAACTTTGTTGCAAAACTTCTTATACAGGATTAACTTTTTTCCAAGAGCAACTTTGGAGCGAGCTTTTAAAATGTTTCGAGGTAGTTAGTACTGGAATAGGTTGAAAGCTTAATTGTGTGTCATTAACCGATAGGAAATTAAAGCATACTCAAACACCTTTCGAATGTTTTTTTAGATGACGATGGTCAACCTAGTTGCGGGTAGCTTAATATTAAGTGCGTGTGTGAACCTGTGAAAATCCTCAACACAACTGAAACTGGAAACATGGTACTGGTGTCTGAGAAAGGTAAGGACTAAAGAAAAGAGCTTCTAACCTATACTAAAATTGATATAATTTTATCTACTGTATTACCGCAGCGAATACGCGATCATTTTGCAGATTGCTAAATCAATCTGTTTATATAATCTATTTAACGGCGTAATTTTTTTTAATTAAATGTATAATTGCGAGATATTTTTTGTACTATCAATATTTAAAGTAAAGAAAAAAAAACTAACCTTAAAAGACTGTTGCGTAATTTTGTACAACCAAACTATGCCAAAGACATTATTACTAAATGGGTTCATTGACCTCAGTCCAGAGCATATTTAATTATCTATAAGGAGTAACAAAATTACAAGATAAAGGGACAAGTCACCAAAGTAATAAGTATCAGAAAATCTAGATGTAGGTAGTGTTTACTTATTCCTAATTTACTACACACTTGGCCCTTTTTTGTACACTGTTCAAGCGTAACAATAGTAACTTGACTTTAAGAAGAGTAATTTGTCACATATTTTGTCACACTCAGAGTAGAATGATCACTAAAGCAAACTGCTAATGGCGATCTACTATGTATTTGCACTCAGTGACTGCTCCAGTGTCTGTTTTAAGATTTAGTTAGCCAGTCAGTATCTGGTCTTGTTTTCCTAAAGTATATAATTTAAATATTGTTAAATTTACATGCCTCAGACCAAGGTTCACAGACAATGGTGAGCGAATGAAAGCTTCATAATTTCTGGGTAATTGGGTTATAAAGCATTGTGTTCCGACACTATAGTCAGACACAACACAATGGAAGTTTTGTGATAATATTTAACATACAAGAGACATAACATGTGCCAATGGACAGACTGGAGGTATACAATATAAAGTTTTAATAAAATCAAATGGACTTAAACATTTACTCTATTGCAATATGCAACTAGCTGTTGCTCGTGACTTCGCCCACGTGTAATTTAAAAAATATGGCCTATGTTACTCAATGATAATGTAGCTTTTTAATGTTATTTCAATACATACAGTATTGCAAAAATAAAAATCTTTCTTCTTTATAATATTAGTATAGATAAATAACAAGAAACTTCTTAAATTCAATAACAGAATGTTGCAAATTAATTCCATTAAAATGTTTTTAAACCTTAAAAGTTTTCATAGCATAATAATTCTGTATGGGCATTGTCCAATTGTAATGTTCGTCAAAAACTCCTATATGTGACCCTAATAAAAATCTAATAACTCAACAAACAGTATCTTGTTTTCCAATAAATAAATGAAAAAATGTTTATTACAATAATAGAAAAAACCTTGAAATGTATTTAATACAGAGATTAAACTATTTAATATAATATTGGTTTTCGCTTCAACAAGCTTCGCAGCAGTAGAAAAATTATCTGTCAAAAAAATATTTAACTTAGTTAATCAAAGTATATTCTTACTAGCTTTAGAAATAAAAAAGTGAATAGCCTATGTGTTCTTCCAGACTATCTTCTACTTTTATACCAAAGTTCACCCAAAAGCGTTCAGCAGTTTAGGCTACACTCTAACAAACATCCATTCATTTAAACTTTCGCATTTATAATATTAGTATTAAGAATGATTAAAACATAGTAGAGCAATTGTATAATGTCAGTGTTTACAAACACCAACATTATTCCAAATACTTTAGTGGTATAAAATATACAAAATACATATGTATAAATAAATGAAAAGTACAATTTATCAAACAGAACATTATTTACAAGATCATGGAGTTAACATACTTTTATCTACAAATGGCCACCAGATGTAAGTGCCTATTAGTTAAAAGCATAACAGAAAAAAAAACTAATTATAAAGAAATCTTGTTAAGGACTCTTAATATTTCCTCAGAACACTATTAACATACAATTAAGAATCCTAAATAGAAGAGATGAAGTCATACATCTGAACACATGTCCTTAGTGGGGTTTACACATATGTCCAAACATTGTTCCCAGGATGGTACCAATGTTATAACCGACTTTGTTTGTTTTTAGTTAACTGTGAATGTTTAGTTTTTATCATATAACTTATGGGTAAAGAAGTTTAACAGCTGTTTTTGTTTAGCTGCCAGTCTTTTCATACTTTTCATTATTTAAAGGTTTAATTTTAATAGTAATTAATAGAATTGATCATAACTGAACATTTTGTTCTGTAATTTTGAAGTTAAAAATTACACTAACAATTACTAATTTTTGACAAAACATTTGTATAACCATTACATTTTTGTGAAACTAGTTTACTGCATATACTAATAGAGTAATAAGGATCGTTAAACAACTTAACAATTAGGGAATAACTTTATCACTTAGATTTATGGTCAATCAGATGTTGTATTTAAAAAAAATGACATTATTTATTATTTCAATAATAAACGATATAGATAATTACGGATATTCGTATAAGTAAATGTTATAAACATGTAAAAAGTAATCATCTGGCAATAGGTTATCGTAAATTATATCTATAGAGAAAAGTTATGCAGTTGTGTTTTTAAGAACATTTTTTAATACATCGTGCAGCGACGTTTTACAATATATTAAAAACATTATAAAGTATATTATAACTTCTTTTGCCTTTTAAACACTGAAGAATATATACCTTTATAAGTCCCGCGAAGATTCCAAATTTCTGGCAAGTCCAAAGGCATACAACATTATCACAAAAAAATCACACAATTCACAGGTTCCACTAACACATAGTTATTTATATATTTTATAAATCCACACCCGCGCAAACGTAAATCAGTTCCTTATTGACATAAACACAAACTGAGCGTCCGCCATATGCAGGTACGTTCGGTACATACAAAATATCAAAGTTTTCATGTTTCTTGTTCGAAACGCGACGCAGAATCTGTCATCTCCACAGATAAAAAAACAATTTTCTTTTGAATATTTCAGTACTACTAACAATGTAAAAATGCTGAAAACACCACTATCAATTCTTAAAGTGTATGTGCAATTGTCTTAAAAAGAGTGATAATTTTTAATAACAAAAATACTTGTAGAACTCATTCAGCTATGTTTTGAATTAGTCTTCTGAACGTACCCAGACCTGCGCTTTACTTCACGTAGTTGCGAGATATTCTCGAACTTCACTGCGTTTAGAACCCGACGAGCTTTGATTTCGATTTACGGAAGAGTATAGATGCTTGAGTAAAGAGGATAGACAATAATGTATTTTTTAAGTCATCGGCCTCTATGCCCCCATGAAGCTACTGCATGAATTTGGCTCTTGTGACTAGACTGTGGCAGTTTGCCTTAAGTCGAAGCTTTCGAATGTAGCGGGCTAAGAATTCTACAATTCCTAATCTCAAATACATAAAACTTTTACATGTTTAATTCTATTAATAGAACTGTAAAATGAATTACGATTTAATAAAATAAATATTAAGTAAATGCTTTACTTTTTACAACTAATATTAATTGGCAAACTTTGGAAAAACTTGTTTTATCAGGTATCAAAAATACTTCTAAGCGTCATATTTACTTAAAAAAAGTAACTATTTATATTAGGTATTTCTTTTCTATCAACATAAGAATTCATGTCACAGAGTATTTTTCTTTACACGATGGATATTTTTCGGTACATAACCAAAACAAACAGCGCTGCAGTCTAAAAGTTTGGCCCCCAACACGCACATCACTTGTAATGCATTCTACTTTCCCCTGCTGTTGGTATAGCCTATTGTGTTTATAGTATGCCCTTGGGAAATACATCCAAATAGGTAACTACCTTACAGGCCAGATAACTGCCAATATATTCTGTTTACTTCTATAAATACTTACGTTAAATATAGAAAAACTATGCGTAAAACTTTGTACATACAAGTATCTTTGTAAGATTTAAATAATTTTTTGTAAAATTAACTTAAATTCTAGGTGTGGCATTGTAGTATTTTTTTTTTATAATATAAGGTGGCAAACGAGCAAGCGGCCATCTGAATCCACCGAAATGGAAAGCGACCGCTGCCCATAAACATCCGCAATGGCAGATGCGTTGCCTACCCTTAGTTGACGGAGGAGGAGACGCACATAAAGAGTACATTTCCCCTTCCTATGCGTCTCCTCCACCGTCATATCCACTTTTCCTTCCCATCCTTTCCTCTTAAGAAAAGGATGGAAAAGAAAAAGGACTTAAATTAGGGCTCCGGCACCACACGCATCAGACGAAACACGGAATTGCTTCCATTTCACGCCTGTCTTCTGTGTAGTCGTGGTATTACACCGGGCGTGCCGGCCCTGCCGTCCTAAGATGTTAAAGCGGGCACTACCACTGTCAAAGTATTATAGTAGGTAAAGGCATTATAGTAGAAGTTTTAATTTGACATCGGTGTCGACCAATGTTTGTGTATCCGTCACTATGAGTAAGTACTCTGTACTGTTTTACCGTATAATAAGCCAATGATAGTTATCATTATCGACTCCCTGTCCTTCTCCCACTTAAGGATAGCACACCAAGATCGTCCAAATTAATCTATCTGTCATCTCTTCACTTCCTTCTTGATCACGGTTACCTTTCGCAAAACGGCTTTTCTATGCCTACCTCTACCCGTTTATAACCTCTTCGTATGAAATCTATTCGGATCTGTGAACACTCGTTCTTTTGAATTCCTTGCGAACGGAATTCTTAACTGGGCCGCAGTGTAAGCTATCTCATAACCATGTCTTTACATTTAGAATTCTAAGTTACATTTGAATGAACAAGACCACGTGCTAGATTTAAATAAAGTATTATATCTTACTAGCTTTCGCCCATGCTCCGTCCGAGTGGAATAAAAAAACAAAAGCCTATGTGTTCTTCCAGACTATCCTCTACATCTACACCAAATTTCATCGAGATCTGTTCAGCTGTTTAGGCTACAATCTCTAACAAACATCCATCCATCCATCTGAACTTTCGCATTTATAATATTAGTAAGATTTTGCTTCTTAGATTTCATAAAAAGAAATACAAGTTATGATTTTTGATCTAATTACAAATGTAAGTACTGTTGTATATTACACGGTGAGCATTCATGCAGTCAGTATGAGTATGCATTAAGTATAGTGTTACGCGAAAATTGTACGGATGACCTAGTTAGTATACCCACTAGTATTTGGTTAAATCTACTAACATAACTGAAAATTTACAAAATATTGTAATAAAATCTTTTAAAACACTATCATAACTTATCTATGTCTATACAAATATTATGATTGAAGTAGAATTGAAGTTACTCAAAAACTACTGGGCCAATTTTAAAAATTCTTTCACCGTTAGAAAGGTAATTTGGAGGATTAACATAAGCTATACATTTTAATATCACACGGGCGAAGTCGCGAGCATCAGCTAGTGAATCTAATAAAAAATAAATGATAGTGAACTAAAAATTTAATAAAGACAGCGACGGCAGCGATGATGCGACCCTTATTGAACATATATAGAGAGCGCTATCCCGACATCTCTCGGGGACACGCACTGCCTTATAATTGCATTCGATGCCCCTTTCCCGCCAATATTGCCAGCTACTGCTCTCCAGTTCCCGCAAACAACGACGTATAATACGTAGTTCCGTTTCAATTAACTTCAATGCATATATTCATCACTCGATCGGCTTTTCCTGAAGGTGAAGCAAAGTAAATTAATGTTTTGATTGGTTTTTAAAAGAAATGTTCACTTGTTTTAGAGTGGGCGGCACAGCTTTGACTAAACTATCGCAGAACAGTTTTGCGATTGGAGATTGTTTCGCAACCAATGCAATAGTTTAATTGCTCATCCAAAAATCAAGAAGTGTGCGTACCTCCATATATGATCAGGAATCAAAGCGGGACTAAACAATTGTGCGATAATTTAGTCGAAGATGATCGATCTAGTGAGTTACGGGTTGTATCAAGATTTTGTACTGTTTGGTGACATAGTTTTGATAATTGCCGTAAACTATTTTAAAAAAAAATTAACTGTTACATTATTAAAGTGAAATTGTGGCGCAAATGGAAAGAAATTTCTCGATTCTGGGCCGAGGACTCTTATCTCAATCTCACGCTCTATTTGTCCGTCTGTGCTAAGCCTCAGTTAGCTGAGCGAGCACGGAGCGAACTCAAAAATATTCTTACGTAACATCCTGCGTCCTACATATTTCGCTACGCCTGATAGAGCTAAATTTTATTCTTTATACATATTCGGGCATATTCTATTACTAGCTCGCTACTTCGTCTGCGTGGATTTATAAACAAAAGTGTTATGTGTGCCTATGTGTTCTTCCAGGTTATTCTCTACGTTTATGTTAAATTTCATTGAGATCCGTTCAGCCTTTTAGGCTACAAACTCTAACAAACATCTATCCATCTAAACTTTCTCATTTATAATATTAGTAAAATTATAATTAACTTTATATTAATATATCTGTTAACTAATATTGTAAATGCGAAAGTTAGATGGATACTTGGATGTTTGTTTTTAAAAGGTACAGATGTAGATAATGATGATGGCATCCGTTACATATCCGTCAATGGCGAACCTTGCTATTTGTAGAACGTAGTCTGGAAGAACACATACTTACTAAGCTATTTACTAAGTTTCTTTTAATAATCTAGTAAGACATAAAAAGTAAAAAACAATAACACATGTATCTTATGTTGTTAAAAACGCGTTATCCTGCCAATATTCAAATAAGAGTCTGATCAAAAGCAAACCGCCTAAGGAATACAAAACAAAAACAAAAAACTGTTAATTATGTTCAACATCGACCGAGTAACCAGAAAAAAAAGCTTAAGACAGCTTATAAAACGATGTCGTTGACAGCCGACATTTTTTTTAATGAGACGACAGATTAAAATAAAAAGATTTTTAATTTAGGTAACTTTTACACATATTTATTCGCAACATTTAAAGTGTATATTATTGAAAAAAAATAAATGTTATTACTGTTTATGAAGCAAGATTAAAATACGAAAAAAAAATTACCAAACATGTTGCAACGATGAAACCATTTGATGGAATGAGGGTCTGTCGATCGAGCCGAGTTCGATTGCAAACCGATAAAACGGTCAGTTTCCTGTGTACAGCACTTGGCAAGTTAATCTCATAAGCCGAGGTTTTTGCCGCGACGCTTTCACTAATCCAGATACCAATTAGTTGGTAAACCATTTAACACAAAGGCTATTGATACAAATTTATAGAAGACCCTCGCTAACGTTAATTAACGATAACGCATTTTATCAAATTAAAACCGTAACCCACTGCGACAGGTAAAGATATTCTGATTATACTAACAACGGTTTAATTAATATAAATAATCATGTTAGCTATTGCTCACTACTTTGTCCGCATCAAATTAAAAAAAAAACATAGCCTATGTTACTCACTGATAAGTTATGTTTCTGATGGTGAAGGAATTTTTAAAATCGGCCCAGTATTTTTACGTATAACAAATACTAATCTTTCCTTTTTGTAATATCAGTACAGACTTAACATAACAATATTTAAGAAAAAAAATATTCCAATGCTGAAGGAGATTTAATTAAATTTTGATATCCATAATAACTATTTTTTTCGAAGTCTAGGCTTATTAAAGCCTAGAGTTATTATACTGAGGTTCCCAGTAACGAATCTACTAAAAAAAATCGCTAATTATTTAGGTTTTAAAATGAGAAAGCATTTTTCCTGGTGCGCCCGTTCCCGATGTCAACTGGAAAATAAAATATTTTCAGCCTTGAACATATTTATGGTTTCATTATAGCATTTTTTAAAAATAAAAATGTAAGATGAAATGTTGATGAAACTATCGCACAACTGTTGTGCGATTGTCGATTATTTCC